TTTCATATATATATATATATATATATATATATATATATTATTACTTTTTTTATTTATTTTGAGTAGTTCAATAGGGATGGATCCTCTACCCATGTCAAAATTGGAATTCAAGATGTTGTGTTATGGGGCTTTGCAAACCCTGACCACCTACCTTCGGGCCTAGGTGACACAATTCATGCTGCATTTTAGCTCTACATACCTAGAACACTTCTCTCTTGCCAGTCTAAAAAGATTTTAAATATTATCTATTTTCACCCAAAACACCAAAGCTTGATGAAGCTCAGGGATCTATCGTATTGTATAGACACGTTGTGCATGATGTATGGTACATTGACAACATATCCACCATCTGTTCAAGAAGATTGATGAAGGAGATGATATGTTTTACAACCCTGGACTAGTCTGTTGTCATGTCCATGAAACGGTTCATCTCCACCGTCCATTTTGTGAATAGAGGCAATGCCTTGTTTGTGTGGTTGCTAGTAGACACCGCATGCATTAACAACGGGAAAAACCATCGTCTATGAAGTGGCCCATATGGATTAATGCGAGAGCAGTTGGTCCATGGCTACGGATTTTCGTGCGTGAGTGGGTCCATCCTATGATATGTTTCTTTATTTTAAGGGAAAATCATGAATACTACCCATGATCAAATTATTCAGACACGCCATTGTTTTTCATATCATACCACTAGTTTCAAATTATTTATATTTGCAACTACCTCCTCAGTCAAGAAGCATTTTAAGACAAAAATACCCTTTATGACATGAGCTTCTCTCACCAGCTCTCGTTTTTTAAAATACTGTCATTCTGACACAATGTGTGCCAAACCGACAGATTATTTAAAATAAAGCCGGTCTAGCACACATTGTGCCATGTTGGCTTTATTTTTTAAAAAGTTAGTCTGACATAATGTTTGCCAAACCGGCGGATTGTTTAAAATGAAGCGGTCCAGCATAATATGTGTGGTTCTTTAAAATAAAACTAGTTTAGTGCACATTATGCTGAGCCAGTTTGATTTTTTTTTCGAGAAAATGTGTTGTATTTGGTATTTTTTTCTTAAAAATTCTAAATTTTTTATTTGAGGATAATTATAAAAATAAAAAATTTTAAAGTTAGTGGTGTGATTTAAATAATGGGATGAGCATGCCTAGAACTATGTGAAGAGGTATCTATAGTTTTCTCTTATTTTTAACTCAACGGACTACTTTTGTACGATGTAGATACATAGGGCATGTACATTATGCCCTTGCGAGAGCATACTATGAAGCAACTCCTTTGCTCAAATTGCCTATTTGGAAAGATTTTTTATTTTAAAATTTTAGGAACCACATAAGAATTACTACATGATTATTTTCTAAAAAAAAAATTTTGGGTTTTGAGTTTTGTGACATTTAGTCCTCTACTCAATCTTGAGGAATTAGTATTTTCTACTAGATAGATAGCTTAGTTTGGAAATTTTTAATTTTTTTTACTCGAATTTGTCCATAGGTTGAAGGGATTAGAACCCCAAAATTTCACTTCAAACCATTATTCCTAATATGTGTTTTTTATTAAAGAATGATGAGATGTTAAATAGTTCAACTCACGTACAGTTTATTAGTAAATCTCCCAACAATTGGATTGAATTAAATTGAGAGTACTGAAGATTGTAATGTAATGGACAGTTATCCAATAACGAAGCACACCAGGGGCACCACGACGAGGTGGACATCGAGTTCTTGGGCACCACACTTGGGAAGCCGTACACGCTTCAAACGAATGTGTACATAAATGGAAGCGGAGACGGAAGAATAATAGGGAGGGAGATGAAATTTCACCTCTGGTTCGACCCCACGGCAGACTTCCACAATTATGCCATTCTCTGGACTCCATCCCAAATTGTGTAAGCACATCCCTCTCACTCAACTCTAATAGAAATTATCTAAGAATTCAGATTGATAGTAAATGCTATCAGGTCTCTCTTCCTAATCTCTCTTAAAAAAATATTGATCTCTCTCTCCGCTAGTGTGGTCACAAATATATCTACAAAAGTATGTGTGATCACCTCATCGTCATCATCTTCATTCAAGCTTTATTTCAATGATTTGGTGTCGTCTTTTATGATAAGAGCTGATAAAGTTTTACATTGGCTGCCTATTTACCTCAACCCATAATAAAGGTTAAAGAAAAAGTTTAAAATCCTGACCTTTATTAGACCTAGCGTCGCCTAATCTACTTAAATTGTTTCCTGAGTACATAGATTTCTTCTTATTTTTAAATAGAGTGCAAAGATGTTTATCTCACTAGAAGTTACCTGGTCTTTAACTTTTGTTTTTACTTGATGAAGAGCTTTTTCTTTCGCTAGGGTGGGGTATTCTTTTGAGTTGTTTGGAGAGGTTGGAGCTTGTCGTTTATTTTATCGAAAAAGGTGTCGTTGTGTGTTGGGAAACATGGAACTACTTTTTGTCCAAATCCCATTACTTTCACTCTTTAGTGGAAGCAAAAAAGTAATTTACGTAAAGTAAAACAAATAGGAAACTATAGCAAGAGTTTTTTTTTTTTGAAAATTATGCGGAAGATCTATCCTGTTAGTTTTTCTTAATGTACCCCTCAGTCAATGTTACAAACAACGGATTGGTTTTTACTTAATTTTTTCCAAACATGGGCACCAATCTGGGTCCAAAAACCTCGGACTGCTTTCCTATGGCCTTAGGCTATAGTGACACTAGTGCTATGTTAGACCTCAGACTGCTCTGTCAGTGGCCTTAGGCTACATTAGGACCTGTCTGAGGTCCTAGACCTCAAAAGGTGTTGTTCGTAACTGTAGGCATTGTGACACAACCCTACGTTTGATGGCGAAAAAAAAAAGAAATGATAATATCTGATTGGGCGGCAAATTGGAAAAAATAAAAAAACTAGACTAACCTTCCGTATGATTTTTGCGGAAAATTGACTTTCCATATTTTTCTATTTGTTTTAGTGTCCGTATATAGATTACTCGAGGAAAAACATGCACTTCTCCCATCCATACTCTGGTTAATGTCACAAAAAAAATAGGGCGGCTATCCTTTACGAGTAAAGCACTGTCGTAGTACTATACACTATACTGTATGGTTAAACATATACCCAAAAAAAAATGAGTTTGGTAAGGAAAACTTTATAAAATGTAAATATATGGAAAAGTATATAATGAAACCATTTATCTTTAGTAAAAGGTGATCACAATTAATCTTGACCATTGATGTCAAATTGGGTGGTTGCATCTCTTTTGACCAAGTTTAAAATTCAAATTTTTTTTTTTTTTTTAACACATTCAAGCTATTATATTTCACATCGAATTGATATAAGTAATTGTGACTTATATCAAAGTAGGACTTCCTTATATCAAAGTAGATGGTTCCATTATATATAATCCCATAATAAATAGGCAATTGGACTTCAAGGGATGTCGAAAAATCTCTTGTCCGGAGAAATGCAGTACTCTCCTACCCCTCTTTAATTAAGGAGCAGCACACCCCACTTTCCGTCCCTTTCAACATCTCAATCTGTTTTCTCACACGTCAAAAAAGATGTTGTCGGAGAGCTAAATTATTGGAACAGTGGAAAGCAGACTGTAGGCCAAAAGAAGTAAGTCGTAAACAAATGGGTGGGTCACGAGATAATATTAAGGATGGATGGATGTGTTGTTTCAACTCTAACCATCCATTTTGTTTTTTTTGTTTTCCATAGATATTTTCTCAATTATCATAAATTTATGAATTTATTTACTTTTTTTTTCAAGAAGGATAAATCAAGCATTAAGCGACATAATTGTATTTGATTGATTGGACATTTTTTTTTATTTGTTTTTGGGTCTTGTTAAAAAAATTGATATTGACGACGATGTCGATGCAGATTCTTTGTGGATGATGTGCCCATAAGGAGGTATCCGAGGAAGGGGCCATCGTCGTTCCCTTCACGACCCATGTGGGTTTATGGGTCCATATGGGATGCTTCTTCTTGGGCCACTGAGGATGGCAAGTACAAGGCTGACTATAGTTTCCAGCCTTTTGTTGCTAGGTATACCTACTTTTCCATTATTCTCTATAATTGCAATATATCATGTGGTAGAATTTGGGCTTCCAACATGTGCTAGTAGCACCTCAACCATCCGATGTCAACAACAAACAATCTAAGGCCATCCTGTCAGATGTCAAATGTTATTAATGTTGGACGGTTGAAGAATTGCTACCTGAGAGAGCATACAATACGCATGTTCCTTTGATTGAATTGAATTTGCAAAATATCAGGTACTCCCGCTTTATTGTAGAGGGTTGCTCTTCGTATGCGCCGCTCACCTGCCGTGCCCCTTCCGCCTCCCCTATCGGTGGCACCTTGAGCGGGCAACAGATAGTGGCCATGCAATGGGCTCAGCGCAACTTCATGGTCTACGATTACTGCAAGGACCCGAAGCGAGACCACGCCCTTCTCCCCGACTGTAGGGGTCCACGTCCCTGAGTTCTTTCCCCATTTCCTTCTTAGATTGGGCCACCCTCATGGGCCCTCCCCAAGTTTCATGGTAGCATATATCCTTCATGGTCGTTTGTTTTTTATATTTGTTAAGAAAGATAGAGACCGAACCCCTCCTACTGGAACAGAGGGGCTCACCTTGATGGCGCTTTTGTTGGCGATCTCAAGCATTTGGGTTCACCAGAAGCATCCAATGTGGTGGTGAAACATCCCTTTCTTTTTATTTTTTGTCCCTTTCTGTTATGTTATATTGTTTCAACCGGCATGTATCGCCAGAGTTGTTGAGTTATTAGAGTGAGAGAGCACCTGCCTCTTTGAAGTTCTTGTATTATTACCATGTTATGGGTGGCGTTTAGGTGATTTGTTTCCAAACTTTGTATAATCAGAGAAATATAATGTTGATTGAATAAATTGGAGCTCCGTTTGGAGAAATATTTGTATTTTGTGGGTGCCGCTATAAATTCATTGCAAGAATTGATTGATTTTTTTTGGCTATCGAATGATTTATTAGGCATTATTGTATATTTAGCTGTTGTTGATTTGATATGCCACACATTTAAGAGGGAAAAGGCAAGAAGGAAAAAAAAAAAACAAAATTGGGAATGACACTATACTTTGGCATCCTCTATGGTCTAAGGCGTGGCACGAAGAGAATAACAATTGCATCAACATCCAAAGATAACACACAGGTAAATGACGGTGTGTTTTTGCCCAACCTAAAAAGTCCCTCTATTCTTTAAACTAAGAATTTGATCTAGAGCTGTAAGGATGCGGCAATTCCACCACCACCCACACCTAAAACGAGATCCACACTTTCCTTTTGGAATGTATATATTGTTGTTGTGAGGCCATTAAAGGCTTTATGAGAACTTGTATTCAAATATTTTGAATAGTGGAACATAAACTCATTGGGAGTATGATCATTTATGGGTCATGATAGGTAAACATTATTTGCTGATACTCAAACTTGGCTTGATGTTCCTGGCATGTCGAGTTGGAAAACCCTTATTACCTAGGCATGGAACAAAACTGATGAGGGTTTGCAGGGTCATCCATTGATGATATCGGAGTTGCCCGCGATTGTGAGCCAAGAGACTGTGGGACCCTTGTGTGTGTTGGTAGGCCTCTAGGGACCAGGGCTAAAGCCTCATCACCAAACTATCATACGACATGTATATATGATAGCCGTATTGGGAAAGCAAGTCACCATTGAGGGTTAAGCATGTACATATGCGAGATATTACCCTTATGCACTATTGAGCTCTAGTTGCATCAGGTTTGTGTGACTTTGGATTCGTCTCTAGAGGAGAATCTATATTGTGTCTCATTGCCTATTGGCTGACCTTGATAGTCTAATCATGAACCCCTGCAGTGGTCTGTGGGTCATGCGATGTAACGACCCAAATTTTTCGAGCTTGATGGAGCGCTTGGCAGAAAAGAAAAGGAGAGAGAAAAAGTGACGTGCGTAGTAGTAAAGAGACGGACGCGACAGTGAAGAAAAGAAGAGAGAGAAAGTAACACATGTGACAGTTAAGAGACGTACGCTGCAGTGAAGAAAAGAAGAAAGAAAGTGACACGCGCGGCATTGAAGAGACGCTCGCGACATTGAAGAAAAGAGAGAGAGAGTGACGCTCCCGACAGTGAAGAGACACTTGTGGCAGTAAACAAAAGAGAGAATGTGCGCAGCAGTAAGAGTAATAAAAAAAGAGAGAGCTCGCGTGACAGTAAGAGACAGAAGAAGAGCACCGCCGTGAACATGATTCCGCCGTGCACGATGGTCTTAGTCGCTGTGAGTGTTTTGTCGAGAGTGCTTTGTGGTGCATGTAAGCCACTTGTATGCCCTTGAATGCCACTTGTTGTCGTTGAATGCCACTTGTGAGTCCTTGCACGCCACTTGTCTGATGCCTCCCCCTCTTAGCTTATAAGTAACCCTCCTCACACATCTCAATAGTTTGCTCTCTCTCCCTCACGTCCTCCTTTAAACACTTAGAACCTTAGGCTTGGAGGCTTGACTTTGAGAGGAAACCTGTGTGGGGGAAGTTGGAGTCCTTTGGCACAAGGTAAGTAGATCTAATATTCAAGTTTCAATATATTTGTTTGTTTGTTTTCCATGAAATTCAAGTATGATTTTTGAATGAGGAAGTGGCTGCATGATTTGCCTTGTTTTTCCAAGATTATACTTCTTATTGGCTTGATAGTTTGACTGCTGAAAACATTAATGTTGACTATGAAAAATTGTGGGAAAGTACCCTATGCCTCTAGTTTAAGATGGAAAATACCTTGTATTAATGTCCATTTTGGTTTGGAAGTTATGAGTCATTTTCTATGATACGGCAAAATTATAATTGCATTTTTAGGAACTTTATATGTCTTAATTGGAACTATTTACTGACCAAATATTATCCAATTGAGCTCAAACCACTTTTAAATGAAATATAGTTGTGTCTACTTCAAAATTGGTTCTGGAACCATTTGAAATTATTTATAGTTTAGGAATTATACCCCTGTTTGTATGAGTATATCATTGTGGTGAGTTGTAGTGAAATTTTAGAACTGTACACGTTTTCTACTGAACTGTTTACTAGCCAAATATGTCCAATTGAGTTCAAACAACTTTTAAATAAAATATGGGTGTGTCTAATTAAAATATAGTTTTGGGACCATGTTGAAATTATTTATATTTTGGGAATTATACGCTTGTTTGTATGAATATACCACTATTGTGAGTTGCAGTGAAATTCTAGAACCATTGCATGTTTTGCACTTAATTGTTAACTTACCATATGGTGTCCAAATGATCTGAAACTACTTTTAAATGAAATATCGGCAATTTCAAAAATTGTTCTGGAACCATGTTGAAATTCCTTATGGTTTGAGAATTATTCCTCTATATGTATGATGATGTCACTGTTATGAATTGTAGTGAATTTCTAGAACTATTGCTTGTTCTACACTGTTATGAATTGCAGTGAATTTCTAAAACTATTGCTTGTTTTATACTAAACCGTTTACGGACCAAATGGTAACCAAATGATCTCAAACAAATTTTAATTGAAATATAGATGTGCCTACTTTAAATTTGGTTTTGGAATCATGTTGAAATTATTTATGATTTGGGAATTATGGCCCTGTTTGCATGAAGGTGTCACTGTGGTGAATAGCAGTGAATTTTCAAAACTGTTGCATGTTTTGTAAAAAGTTGCTCACTGACCAATATGCCTCTGATTAAGCCAAACAACTTCTAAAAGAAATGTGGAGGAGTCCATTTTCAAATTGATTTTGGAACCTTGACTAAACTCTCTATGGATTTGAAAATTAGGTCAAATTTTCTAAGAGGCGATCATACTGAAAAACCTGTTCCGTTGTGAATTATTGAATATTCATGGCTGTCATAGGATATGATTATGATATAGTGAATGCTTACGAATTATCAGATATACATGTTGGAAGGAATTTTTCATCAACAAGGGGCCCCCACTCTATAAAGCCTAGCAAACAGTGGAAATAATGACAATCTCAAAACTAGCCCTGAAATTGGCCAAGATCTTCATGAGGTATCTTAAGGCATTGCAGATCGGGAAACAACCTCTAGCACCCTGGAACGACTCCTATAACTAGAGCTACATTTTCGATGTCTCTAACTACTGTGGGACCACCACCATTGGATCTGGCACAGTTGAAAACCCCCAAGAGTCAAATTTCAGCCGAATGGACACTCCAGAGGACTCAACCTTTCACAAAAGAAAGAGTTTTTACTTAATACAAGTTTCTCTTTCTTCTCATTGTTGGGTCACGTTTGAGAGAGAGAGTGAGGTGAGAGAAACTTTTGACTGGCACCCCTAGGTTCGAGGTAAATCTTCTCTCTCTCTTCTTTCATCTCTTCTCCATCTTCCCTGCCTTAGCTCCTCGCAGTGGTCATAGACGGCAGTGGCAGTATCGTGCATGCCTCCCCTGAGGTCACACAGGTCGTGCATCGCGATGGCAGTGCCATGCGCGAGCCTCCTTCTTCTTCTTTTCTTTTATCTCTTTCGTCTAGTGGGGCTGGTAGGCGGTGCTTCTTATCGCTGTCCACATACGTAGCGTGGACGTCTTAGTGAAGAACCCAGACGGCGAAACCCGTTGCCGCTCGTAAGGTTCCTCCCCTATTGCATGTCTGTAGTAGACGACGATACCCATTGTTGCCCTCTATAGGCCTCGGCAACATCTACCGCTGTTCGCGCGCTTCCTTTGTGTGTTCAGCGTTCATCGTCGTCCTTCCTGCATCCCACGCCTATCACCGTGTGCCTTGTGAGGATTATCATCGCGTGCTTCACGAGTGATCATCGCCGCATGCTTCATCAGAAACTATCGCCGCCCGTGCGGGGGGTGTTGTTTCATTATGTTGCCAACGGCGATGGCTAGCGCCATACGTAGTTCATTCCTCACCCTCTAGCCATGAGCAGTAGTGTCGAGCACAGCCCAAGGGCCACAACAATGCTACTCCACGGTCGTGAACGACAACACCTAGCACTGTCGGGACCTTATCTCTCTGCTGTTTCATCTCTTCTTTCCATTCTATTTCTCTTCTCACTTGACTGGGGGTAGACTTAGCCTAGCACCGCCTTATTGGTCTTGGTTTCGAGTAGTATTGCTGTCGTGTTGGTCTTGATAATCATGCCCATCTTGCTACCACTCCGAGTCGATGACTTCTCGGTTGCCATGCTAGTCTCTCCTCTTCATCGAGTTTTTCTTCCCTTTTCTATCTTTATTTTAACCTTATGCTTCATCGTCCTCTCGTATGAACGTACATTGCCCTAAGACAAGGGTGGGTCTTTTTAACCCACTTGTCTTACAAATTAACCATAAAAGTATTGTGTAGAAAGTAAGAGGATTGTAGGTCATGGTAGGTGATTCCAAACTAGCTAAAGCAGTTAGGGGGCTTTCTTCGTGATCTAGAGGACGCCTACGCGAGCCAGCTCGAGTAAGTCCCAAACCCGCCTTCAATTCCTCTCTCATCAGTTGGTATACCTACCCTTGCTCTCAAGCAAGGTTCTGAGAGAGCGATCTCAAATCCCGGGTGTGCCAGAAACCCGAGATACATGTCACCAAATCATCCAGATTCTGACGGTGAGATAGAGGCACCAACCAGCTTGGCGACTCCACTGGGGACTTACTACCCCTTAGTCGGCTCACTCTTGTTTAACCAGTATCCTCTTTTACTTTATGCATTAATTTCTATGACACCTGAGTTGTTCAACCCATTCATCCGAGTCGGGGACTTCCTTATCCCCGCACTCATGACCGGCCTAGGGAAGCGAATTGCTCAAGCTTCTTTCCTTACTCTCCTTCGATGTCAGGACTCACAATCCGGATCCCAGGTTCTCACCTGGATCAGTGGGAGAGGGGGAGACTTAAAAGTCCCCGCCTCACTGCTGCCTCACCTTGGTGGACCCTCCAC